TTTGTGTCTTTCTATTGACCCATCTGATTTACGTTTAACTTTAAGAATCCATTTATTTCCAATAGCTTTACGTTGCTTAGGAAGGTCAACTAGATCCCAGACTTTATTGGTTTTCATGGACTCTAATTCTTCTTTCATCGATTTTAACCATTCATCCCTTTCAAGTCTCGATAAGGCCTTAGTTACATAATTAGGTTCATCCAATTCTGTGGGAGATACCAGGAAAACATAATCCTCAATCTCATAAGATCGTCTAGGTACACCTTTTCTTGTACTCTTACGTATTTGAAGTTCAGATTCCTCTATAGGATTTTGAGATTCATAACTCCCACTCGGACCAGGAATCATTTCTTGATCCATTGAATTATCAAGTATGTTTGACAATATTACCTGATCTTCTGAATTCAACATTTCGTACAGAGGCTCAACTTCACCTATTTCACCCTTTTGGGAAAATCATTTTCCAAAATTTGACATCTCGTGATACAATTTCAGTAATACTTCCATCCTCCAGTTCATCGATGAACACATATCATTTAGAGCGTTCAGAGTACCTTTTAAAGATACATTTCTTTCCTTTTCGACTTAGTTTACCAAACTCACCAAACGATCTTTAATATATGCCACACAACCCCACGGTCGTAGATCATTCAGGTTTGTTTTATGACCAGTCCAAAGTTCATAAGGAGTGGAAAACACTGACTTGGAAGGCACTTTGTTCAATATGTAAGCCGCAGTCAATAATGCATCTCCCAAGAAAGAGATAGACAAATTTTCCTGCGCTATCATTGATCTTGTCATGTCTAATAATGTTCTATTCCTTCTTTCAGCTACACCATTTTGTTGAGGTGTATAAGGAGTAGTTAACTGTCTGATAATACCCTTTTCAGTACATGATTATTCAAATTGTTTTGACAAATATTCACGTCCTCGATCGGTTCTTAAAGCTTTTATGCTTTTATCTAATTGATTTTCAACTTCATTCAAATATCTTTCAAAGCACTCAAGTGCTTCAGATTTATGAGAAATCAAATAGACATAACCAAAACGAGTGAAATCATCAATAAATGTAATGAAATATATAGCACCAGACCTTTCCCTTACATTCATTAGACCACAAATATCTGAATAAATTAATTGAAGTGGGAACTCAGCTCTCTTAGCCTTTCCAAATGGTTTACGCGTAATCTTTCCAGCAAGACAATTTTCACAAGTTGGCATTTCAATTTTGGTGAAATAACCTAAATGCCCTTCTTTTGCCAACTTATTCATTCGATCTTGCCCTATGTGACCTAGTCTAGCATGCCATGTAATAACATCAACATCATTGTTACTTGAATAACATGTCATTACACAATGGTCAACATAATAGTCATAAGTTGAAGGATTACAATCTAATACGATAAAACGGTCATAACGAAGTCCAAAACCATATAAAACATTATCTAGAGTTATTCTAACACCATTACGACTAAAAAATAAATCAAAACCAATGTCTAAAAGAACAGACACATACACTAAGTTTCGTCGAATCTCTGGAGTATATAGGACGTCATGCAACATCAAGAAACAACCACCACGCAAGTCCACTTTGCAAGTGCCTATACTTTTGATTTCAAGCCTAACATTATTTTCTACGTAGATCCACCTTGATTTAGATGAAACTCGACGAAACTCCATAAACGCCTCTCTATGTCGACTCACACGGTCGGTGGATCCTGAGTCTACAATCCACATAGGATAAGATTTAGTTAGTAACGAAGTGCTAGAAACATATGTAGCACTTAGACATGCGTTTAGAAATTCTACCTTTTTGGGCTCGGTACATTCACGAGCAAAATGCCCCAATTCTTGGCAATTGTAGCACTTCATTTTACTCTTGTCTCTCTTCTTGAAAAACCATTTTCCTTTCTTGGAGTTTGGCTTCTTTTTTTTCTTAGAGGGTCTTTCTCCAGTCTCTTTGTCTTTCCCATTTCTTTTCCAATGTTTCTTGCGCTTGAAGCCTGAAGATTTTGTACCACTTGACTCTGTCACAAAGGCATTAGAAGCAGCTTTAGCAGCACCAAGGCGCTCATCTTCAAGTTCAACATGGAGTGCAACATTGGAAAAAGTTTTGATGCTATCATTATGGGTCAAGTTAACCTTCAAATGTTCCCAATTATTGGGAAGAGACCGAATCACTGCCTGAACTTGTTGTTCATCTGAAAGAACATGGCCAACACTCTTGAGTTGAGCTATCATGTTTGACATCACCCTAAGATGTTGTTTGATATTCTGATCATGACGTTTTTTGTAAGTGTCAAATTTGATAGCCAACTGTCGGAGGCGGGTTACAGATGTACCCCCATATGTTCCTCGCAGATGTGCCCACATAGCATGAGTAGTAGGAAATTCCTCACATTCATGTATGAGGTTATCAACTACAGAACTAACTATTATTTCACATACGGTGGAGTTAGCCTTCTTCCAAGCTTGGTAAGCTTCAAGATCCCTTCTGTGTTATGCAGTATTACCCTCTTCTGGATGATTCAAAACATGATTTATACCTTCCAAAGCTTTTTGCTCTTCCAGTATATACCATATTTTACGACTCCAGATGTCATAATTATCACCGTTAAATTTTTCACCTTTGTTTAAGTCAGCAATGATACTTTTTGATGCCATATCTGTTATTGACATATAATTAGGAAAGAATTTTAATCAATTATGCATGCGACATACACATTCAAGCAAATTAATTCTCATAAAGATTTCATATTTAATGTAAAATAAAAAAGACATGTATGCATCCAATCATTATCTACAAACTAAATATTTAATCAAAATTCAAATCTAATTTCTTAATGTGTATAATTAATATATTGAAGACTTTGAAAACAAGGATTTTTAAGTCTATTAACAAAATTTGAGAGAAAAAACAAACTACATAATTCATATCTTGAAAAACAAATAAGCAACAAAGTTTACAAGTAATTAAAAGACTGAAATCCTCCCACAAGTCTTCAAGACAACAAATGTAAACCCTAAAAGATTGACTGGGCCAAATATTGTGATAAACATCAGTCAATCTACTACCCCAAGGTTCACGGAGAGCGTCTGTTAAATAAGCTAAGGCTCTCCAATCTGAAATTTCCTTATAATTATCCAGTTCAACCCATTTTATTTCAAAAAGGTGAATAAAATCACGTGCTGACATATTAGGGGACATCTTCAATGACTCAAGCTCTTTAAATTTTTTCTCTTTTCCCCTTCGAATGGCCCTTTGGTTCCTTGACTGATTTTGTGTCGCCTTTGGGAAACCAATCTGTACGATTTCACTCCCTCGAAAACATGTCTTACGGTGGCTTACTCTTCTACCTTGTCCCTTTGCTCGACTTTGAGAACTCCCACTTGGAGTAGTTTGAGCAAGTTCCCATTCAGCCATATCTGAAATGGGAACAAAACAAGAATATGGTTAATATCATTTAATGCGACAACATATGTTACAAATTTTCGTAAAAGGCAAGGAACTGCTCAAGGAACATAAGGATTAAACTAATTTATCGAGACCAATTTTAATGCACTTATTAAAATTATAATCTAGTCAAAACAAATGATCACTATACTTCATTAAGTAAAGAAGATAGCTCATGGCCTTTAAAAAAAATTCAAAGTGAACCACAATCTAATTTGACCACTTGAAAAAACTTATGTTAAAGTAAATACTAAAATAAATACTTTGTTAACGTAAAAAAAAATTTATAAAACCATTGTCTATTTGTCATAAAAATAATAATAGTACTTTATTATTCCAAAGAAAATGGTATAAGTATTTTATTAAAAAAATTGGACCTTTTTTTTAATCCTTAACAGAAAAGGACAAAAAGAAACTCCCTTTCCTTTTTTTTAAAAAAAAATTTAATAATGGGACCATCTTTTTCCTTCTTAATCCTTGAAGAAAAGGACAAATAAAAATTAAAAAAGAAAAAGAAAGGGATACACGTCCAATTGAAAAAAAAAATGGGACAACTTTATTTAACCTTTTTTTTATTATTATTTTTTCTTATCCTTAACAAAACAACTTTCACTCGATTCTGTCCCTCAACATCTCTTCCAATCTTTTTAAAAAAAAATTATTAACATAAAAACAAAAGTTGATTTTTTCAAGTCTTTATCCAACTCAAAGTTTTTTTCCTTTTCAACCTATAAAATAACTCTTTATAAATATTATTCATCTTCTCCTGTTACTTTCATGGAGAAAAAAAATAGAGAACAACAACAAAACTTCAACAAAATTCCATGAAAGAACCACAAGGCAGAAAAAATACTCAAGTCAGTAAATATTTTCTTTTTTACCTACTCATAATAGAATGTCGAGAAACAAAAAAAACAGATCGATAAATTATCATAATTCAAATTTCTCGATTCATTCAACCAGAGAATTTCAATCATTATTCAAACATGGAACAATTAAACCAAGCTCTGATACCATTTGTAGGATTTATGGAAAGAAGTCGACGAATTGTGTACCTTATGTTTTTGCAGCGAAAAATCGACGGAATCTTTTTCTTTGAAGAATTGTTCCAAGCCAAACTTGAATCTCAAGGAAACAAGATAAATGATTCACAAACTAAATATCTTTTGGTGAGTGTCTTTTTCTTAGAAAAAAATTGTTTTCAGAGTGTTCACTTTTTTTCTGTTTTTTCTTCTTACGTTTTCAGAGTGTAAAAAATTCTCTATTTAAAAAATAAAGTTGTATGTACGTGGAACAGTTACATAGTAACTATATGTAACTGTTCCCACCCCTATTTTTTAAATTAAGACTTATCTTTTTTTTACAGATAATATTTCGGGTCGGATCGGGCCGAGTCGGGTCGATCCACATGGGGGATCCATGACCCAAAAACTTACAAAAACAGACTTAATTACGTAAATTAATACAATTAAATCAGTATTGTAATATATAGACAGACTTAACTACCATATCTTCCTTGCCTATAAGTGTGCAGAAGTACCTTCTTTCCCACCTATGTAAACTCAATGTGCAACAACCGTGGACTATTATAGTTACTTCTCTACTTATCATATATATACTTAATTTGGATTTCATTACCTTATATGTATCAACAATGAGTTTTGGATTTCATTACCTTCTTAAAGTATTTATCAGCAATGAGTTCTGAATTTTCAGCACGTGCAACTTTTAAACTGCCATGACAACAAAGGCAAAACAAGAGTTAAATTTATCATGCTAAAAGTGAAACTTAAGTGATTTTTCATGTGTTTGAATCACAATGTAACCTTAAACCAAATAAGACAAGTAATGACCACTGACTCATAATCAGCTAATTACATACACATAATAACACAGAGAAATTCAATAACCCAAAAAAAACAGTATTCAATAACCCGACATTCAATAACCTACAAATGATCACTACCTCATTACCAACAGAGAAACAAAATTCAAACACCCAGAAAACAACATTCATGAATATTATTTTCTGGGCTTTTGAATATTGGGTTATTCATGAGTGTTGTTTTCTGGGTTTTTGATTATTGAGTTATTCATGATGATTCAAGTATGGGAACATAAAGATAACTTTTGAATGTGCAACAAAAATAACTTGTGTGCTTTCTCGATAAAAACAAACATCTTTAAGTTACTTTAATAATAGGATAGGCCAGATTTGATGCAAGGCTATGTGCGAATCCCTCGTGTCCCCACTTTTCACCCCAGCTGTTTTGTATGGAATAGAACTCGTCCCCATTTTTATCTTTACCGTAACCTACGTTGAGTACTACGTGACCGTGAGCCTCATATAGCGATTTGTTTGCAATTTCATACGCCGTTGGTTTGTAAGTTAACCTAAGTTTAAAACTAAGAAAGTTAGAATATATATATACAAATAATAAGTTAAAGGAAAAAAATAAATACAAACCTTTCCTTTGTGCTTGTGTTCGTGTATACTTGGATAGGCAATGATATTACAAGTTATTGGCTGTTTTCTAATGCGTCGCTTAGAAACCTTTTCGAGGTCCAACTCTTTGTATCCATCAATTTTGATAGTCTGCATAAAAAAGTTTCTTACTTTCAATACAACAATAAAATAATAAAACAAGAAGATGAGCAAAAAACTGTACTAGTAGAGTTTACCCTAACTCTATCACCACCACACTTGCAAACACCCTCTTTTCCATTGTGTAGGGATACTTATACTCTTCCACAATGCCGTAATCCATAGCAAATTGGTATACCATAAAAGCGTTAGCCAGTGGGCATTCATTTTCCTTCAACATTTTCTCAAGCTCGGGATTTGGATATTTTTCAAGAACGCAGTCGATCACCTGTTGTTTGGATAATGGTATAACTGCCCTTTTCCGTTTTATAGCATCCACGACAGTTATTGCACCAACACCGGCACATGCCCGGCAAGAGCCTTCAATTATGTAAGAATACTATTACTCACAATACCCCAGACTTCATTCACTACTTTTACAGATAATATTTCGGGTCGGATCGGGCCGAGTCGGGTCGATCCACATGGGGGATCCATGACCCAAAAACTTACAAAAACAGACTTAATTACGTAAATTAATACAATTAAATCAGTATCGTAATATATGGACAGACTTAACATTCATGAATAACCCAAAAGCATTCAAAAACCCAGAAAATAACATTCATGAATAACTCAGCAACATTCAATAACCCAAAAAACAACATTAATGAATAACCCAACATTCAAAAACCTAGAAAACAACATTAATGAATAACCCAACAACATTCAATAGCCCAGATAAAACAAGTAATACCAATAGAAACAACATTCAATAACCCAAATAAAATAAGTAATACCCATAGAAACAACATTCAATAACCCAGGAAAGTAAGAACCTGAAGGTAGAGAGAGTGAGTGGGTAAAGTGTTGGATTAGAGAGCAAGTTATTATTGTATAAGGAAATGTAATTAGCATTGGTGGAAAAAAAATGTGAACACTGAGTGCAGGGGTTTGTATGTTACGGAATCTACCTTCATTTTTTTTCTGTTTTTAAAAAAAAAAATATGAACTGTGAAAAAATTATGGTAAGAAGAAGTGTAATACTATTAATTGAGATTAAAGAATAAGTATGAGTAATTAAGATCATATTATCATTTCTTAAATAAGTGTATAAGACAAACAACGAAAGAAAAATGGATCAACAAAAGTAATAAATATTTAAAAAAGTTATTTCATCCGTCTCAAATTTCTGTATTTTAACTCGGCATTCGGACACACAACCTTTAAGATTTTTGAAATATGATTTATACATTTATAAATACTTTGTTAACATAAAAAAAATACTATAAAACTATTGTCTATTTGTCATAAAAAAAAATAGTACTTTATTATTCCAAAGTAAATGGTATAAGTATTTTATTAAAAAGATTGAACTTTTTTTTAAATCCTTAACAGTAAAGAACAAAAAGATACTCCCTTTTTTTAAAATTTTTTTTAATAGTGGGACCATCTTTTCCCCCCTTAATCCTTGATGAAAAGGACAAATAAAAAAAAAAAAAAAAAAAGAAAGGGAGACACGTCCAATTGAAAAAACAAAATGGGAATTCCTTTTTTTTATAACTATTTTTTCTTATCCTTAACAAAACTACTTTCACTCGATTCTGTCCCTCAAAATCTCTTCCAATCTTTTTTTTAAAATTTATAAACATAGAAACAAAAGTTGACTTTTTCAAGTATCGTAATACATGGACACACTTAATTACCACATCTTTCTTGCCTATAAGTGTGTAGAAGGACCTTCTTTCCCACCTATGTAAACTCAATATGCAACAACCGTGGACTATTATAATTACTTCTCTTCTTATCATACATATATTTAATTTGGATTTCATTACCTTGTATTTATCAGCAATGAGCTTTGGATTTCATTATCTTCTTAAAGTATTTATCAGCAATGAATTGTGAATTTTCAGCACCTGTGATTTTTCGTACTGCCTTGATTACAAAAGCAAAAAAGAAGTTACATTTATCATGCTAAAAGTGAAACTTAAGTAGTTCTCCATGTGTTTGAATCACAACGTAGGCTTAAACCAGATAATACAAGTACTGATCACTAACTCATAATCAGCTAATTACATACACAGAATAATACAGAGAAATTCAATAATCCTAAAAAACAGTATTCAATAACCCGAACATTCAATAACCCACTAATGATCACTACCTCATTACCAGTAGAGAAACAACATTCAAAAATACAGAAAACAACATTCATGAATAGCCCAGCATTCAAAATCACAGAAAACAACACTCATGAATAACCCATCATTAAAAAATACAAAAAACAACATTAATGAATAACCCAACATTGAAAAAACAATATTCATGAATAACCCACCATTCAAAAACCCAGAAAACAACATTCATAAATAACCCAACATTCAAAAACTCAGAAAATAACATTCATGAATAATACAATATTCAAAAACCCAAAAAAAAAACATTCATGAATAACCCAGCAACATTCAAAACTCTAGAAAACAACATTCATGAATAACCCAGCAGCATTCAATAACACAGAAAACAACATTCACGAATAACCTAACATTCAAAAACCTAGAAAACAACACTCATAAATAACACAACATTCAAAAACCCAGAAAATAACATTTATGAATAACCCAACATTCAAAACCCAGAAAACAATATTCATGAATAACTCAGCAGCACTCAAAAACCCAAAAAACAACATTCATGAATAACTCATCAACATTCAATAACCCAGAAAACAACATTCATAAATAACCCAACATTCAAGAACCCAGAAAACAGCATTCGTGAATAACCCAACAACATTCAAAAACCCAAAATACAATATTCATGAATAACCAAACATTCAAAAACCCAGAAAATAACATTCATGAATAACCCAACATTCAAAAACCCAGAAAACAATATTTATGAATAAACCAGCATTCAAAAACCCAGCATTCAAAAACACATAAAACAACATTCATGAATAACTCAGCAACATTCAATAACCCAGAAAATAACATTAAAGGATAACACATCATTCAAAAATCTAGAAAACAACATTCATGAATAATCCAACAACATTCAATAACCCAGATAAAACAAGTAATACTCATAGAAACAACATTCAATAACCCAAATAAAATAAGTAATACCCATAGAAACAACATTCAATAGCCCAGGAAAGTAAGAACCTGAAGGTAGAGTGAACGAGAGAGTGATTGGGTAAAGTGTTGAATTAGAGAGCAAGTTATTATTATATAAAGAGGTGTAATTAGCATTGATGAAAAAAAATGTGAACACTAAGTGCAGGGGTTTGTATTTTACGGAATCTACCTTCATTTCTTTTTTTTCTATTTAAAAAAAAATAAGAACTATGAAAAATTATTGTATGAAGAAGTGTAATACTATTAAATGAGATTAAAGAATAAGTTTGAGTAATTAAGATCATATTATCCTTTCTTAAATAAGTGTATAAGACAAACAACACAAGAAAAATGGATCAGAGAAAGTAGAAAATATTAAAAAGATTATTTCATCCGTCTCAAATTTCATTATGTTAACTCGGCATTCGTACACACAACCTTAAAAATTTTAAATTATGATTTATACATTTATAAATACTTTGTTAGCATAAAAAAATTTCTATAAAATCATTGTCTATTTGTCATAAAATATAATAATAGTACTTTATCATTACAAAGAACATGGTACAAGTATTTTATTAAAAAAGTTAGACTTTTTTTAAAAAAAATCCTTCATAGAAAAGGACAAAAAGAAACTCTCCTTCCTTTTTTTCTTTTTCCATATTTTTAAAAATTTTAATAGTGGGACCATATTTTGCCTCCTTAATCCTTGAAGAAAAGGACAAATAAAAATTAAAAAAGAAAAAGAAAGGGAGACACGTCCAATTGAAAAAAAAAATGGGACCACTTTAATTAACCCCTATTTTTTTTTTATCCTTAACAAAATAACTTTTACTCGATTCTGTCCCTCAAAATCTTTTCCAATTCATTTTTTTTATTTTTTTTATTAACATAAAAACAAAAGTTGACTTTTTCAAGTACTTATGCAACTCAAAGTCTTTTTTTTTTTTCAACCTATAAAATAACTATTTAGAAATATTATTCATCTTCTCCCGTTACTTTCATGGAAAGAAAAAAAATAAAGAAACATCAAACAAAACTTCAACAAAATTCCATGAAATAACCACAAGGTAGAAAAAAAATACTCAAGTCAGTAAATATTCTCTCTTTTTCCTACTCATAATGTATTATCGAGTAACAAAAAAAATAGATCGATAAATTATCATATTTTGAATTTCTCGATTTATTCAACCAGAGAATTTCAATCATTATTCAAACATGGAACAATTAAATCAGGCTCTGATACCATTTGCAGGATTTATAGAAACAAGTTGACGAATTATGTACCTTATGTTTTTGCAGTTGAAAATCGACGAAATTTGTTTGTTTAAAGAATTGCAACAAGCCAAACTTGAATCTCAAAGAAACAAAATAAATGATTCACAAACTAAATATCTTTTAGTGAGTGTCTTTTTCTTAGAAAAAAATTGAGTTAATAGTATTTACTTTTTTTCTGTTTTTTCTTCTTGCGTTTCCAGAGCATAAAATATTCTCTAATTAAAAAATAAAGGTTTATGTACGTTGGAGCAGTTATATAGTAACTATTTACACTCCTATTTTTTAAATTAAGACTTATCTTTTTTTTACAGATAATATTTCGGATCGGATTGGGCCTAGTCGGGTCGATCGACATGGGGGATCCATGACCCAAAAACTTACAAAAACAGACTTAATTACGCAAATTAATACAATTAAAACAATATCGTAATACATGGACGGACTTAATTACCACATCTTCCTTGCCTATAAGTGTGCAGAAGGACCTTCTTTCCCACCCATGTAATCTCAACGTGCAACAACCGTGGACTATTATAGTCACTTCTCTGCCTATCATACATATACTTAATTTGGATTTCATTACCTTGTATTTATCAGCAATGAGTTTTGGATTTCATTACTTTTTAAAAGTATTTATCAGTAATAAGTTCGGAATTTTTAGCACGTGTGATTTTTCATACTGCCATGACTACAAAGGCATAAAAGGAGTTAAATTTATCATGCCAAAAGTGAAACTTCAGTGGTTCTCCATGTGCTTGAATCACAACATAAACTTAAATCAGATAAGACAAGTAATGATCACTAACTCATAATCAACTAATTACATACACAGAATAACACAGAGAATTTCTGTAACCCAAAAAAACAGTATTCAATAACCCAATCATTTAATAACCCACTAATGATCACTACCTCATTACCAACAGAGAAACAACATTCAAAAACCCAGAAAACAATATTTATGAATAGCCCAACATGCAAAATTCTAGAAAACAATATTTATGAATAGCCCAGCATGCAAATTTCTAGAAAACAACATTCATGAATAATCCAGCATTCAAAAATTCAGAAAACAACATTCATAAATAACCCAACATTATTCAAAAACCCAGATAACAACATTCATGAATAACCCAGCAGCATTCAAAAACCGAGAAAAAAACATTCATGAATAACCCAACAACATTCAATAACCCAGAAAACAACATTCATGAATAACCAATCATTCAAAATCCCATAAAACGACATTCATGAATAACCCATCATTCAAGAACCCAAAAAATAGCATTCGTGAATAATCCAACATTCAAAACCCAGAAAACAACATTCATGGATAACCCAGCATTTAAAAACTAAGAAAACAACATTTATGAATAACATATCATTCAAAATCCCATAAAATGACATTCATGAATAACCCATCATTCAAGAACCCAAAAAATAGCATTCGTGAATAATCCAACATTCAAAACCCAGAAAACAACATTCATGAATAACCCAGCATTTAAAAACTAAGAAAACAACATTTATGAATAACATATCATTCAAAATCCCATAAAATGACATTCATGAATAACCCATCATTCAAGAACCCAAAAACCAGCATTCGTGAATAACCCAACATTCAAAACCCAGAAAACAACATTCATGAATAACCCAGCATTTAAAAACTAAGAAAACAACATTTATGAATAACCTATCATTCAAAAACCCTGAAAAACAACATTCATGAATAACACAACATCATTCAAAAACCCAGAAAACAACATTAATGAATAACCCAGCAACATTCAATAACCTAGAAAACAACATTCATGAATAACCCATCATTCAAAAATTCAAAAAATAACATTCATGAATAAGTCAGTATTCAAAAATCCAGAAAACAACATTCATAAATAATCCAACAGTATTCAATAACCCAGAAAACAACATTCATGAATAACCCAGCATTCAAGAACCCAAAAAACGACATTCATGAATAACCCAACAGCTTTCAAAAACCCAGAAAATAGCATTCGTGAATAACCCAGGATTCAAAAATCTAAAATACAACATTCAAGAATAACTCAACATTCAAAAATCCAGAAAACAACATTAATGAATAACCCAACATTCAAAAACCAAGAAAACAACAGTAATGAATAACCCAACAACATTCAAAAACTTATAAAACAATATTCATGAATAACTCCGCAGCATTCAATAACCCATAAAACAACATTCATGAATAATCCAACATTCAAAAACCTAAAAAACAACATTCATGAATAATCCAGTAGCATTCAAAAACCCATAAAACAACATTCATGAATAACTCAACAGTATTCAATAACTCGGAAAATAACATTTATGAATAACCCAGTATTCAAAAACCCAGAAAACAACATTAATGAAGAACCCAACATTCAAAAACCTAGAAAACAACATTAATGAATAACCCAACAACATTCAATAGCCCAGATAAAACAAGTAATACCAATAGAAACAACATTCAATAACCCAAATAAAATAAGTAATATTCATAAAAACAGCATTCTATAACCCAGGAGAGTAAGAACCTGAAGGTAGAAAGAGTGAGTGGGTAAAGTGTTGGATTAGAGAGCAAGTTATTATTATATAAGGAGGTGTAATTAGCATTGGTGGAAAAAAAAACGTGAACACTGAGTGCAGGGGTTTGTGTGTTACGGAATCTACCTTCATTTTTTTTCTGTTTTTTAAAAAAAAAAATATGAACTGTGAAAAATTATGGTAAGAAGAAGTGTAATACTATTAATTGAGATTAAAGAATAAGTATGAGTAATTAAGATCATATTATCCTTTTTTAAATAAGTGTATAAGACAAACAACAAAAGAAAAATGGATCAGAGAAAGTGGTAAATATTAAAAAGAGTTATTTAATCAGTCTAAAATTTCTTTATTTTACTCGACATTTGGATACACAACCTTTAAGTTTTTTAAAATATGATTTATACATTTATAAATACTTTGTTAACATAAAAAACAATACTATAAAACCATTGTCTATTTGTCATAAAAAAAATAGTACTTTATTATTCCAAAGAAAATGGTAAAAGTATTTTATTAAAAAAATTGAATCTTCTTTATTTTTAATTCTTAACAGAAAAGGACAAAAAAAAATCCCTTTCCCTTTTTTTCTTTTTCCTTTTTTTTTTTTAATTTTAATTGTGGGACGATCTTTTTCCTCCTTAATCCTTTAAGAAAAGGAAAAATAAAAATATAAAAAGAAAAAGAAAGGTAAACATGTCCAATTGAAAAAAAATATGGGACCACTTTATTTAATCCTTTTTTTTAATTATTTTTTCTTATCCTTAACAAAACGACTTTCACTCGATTCTGTCCCTCAAAATCTCTTTCAATCTTTTTATATTTTTTTTATTAACATAGAAACAAAAGTTGACTTTTTCAAGTCCTTATCCAACTCAAAGTCTTTTTTCTTTTCAACCAATAAAATAATTCTTTATAAATATTATTCATCTTCTCCCGTTACTTTCATGGAGAGAAAAAAATAGAGAACAACAAACAAAACTTAAACAAAATTTCATGAACGAACCACTAGGCAGAAAAAATACTCAAGTCAGTAAATATTTTTTCTTTTTCCTACTCATAATAGAATGTCGAGTAACAAGAAAAAGTAGATCGATAAATTATCATATTTCAAATTTCTCGATTCATTCAACCAAAGAATTTCAATCATTATTTAAACGTGGAACAATTAAACCAGACTCTGATACCATTTGCAAGATTTATAGAAAGAAGCCGATAAATTATGTACCTTATGTTTTTGCAGCGGAAAATCGACGAAATCCTTTTCTTTGAAGAATCCTACAAGCCAAACTTGAATCTCAAGTAAATAAAATAAATGATTCACAAACTAAATATCTTTTGGTGAGTGTCTTTTTCTTAGAAAAAATTGTGTTCAGAGTGTTCACTTTTTCTTTGTTTTTTTTCTTCTTGCGTTTCCAGAGCGTAAAATATTCTCTATTTAAAAAATAAAGGTTTATATACATTGGAGCAGTTACATAGTAACTATTTCCACCCCTATTTTTAGATTAAAGCTTATCTTTTTTTTACAGATAATTTTTCGAGTCGAGTCGGGTCGTTCCACAAAGGTGATCCATGACCCAAAAACTTACAAAAACAGACTTAATTACGTAAATTAATACAATTAAAACAGTATCGTAATACATGGACAAACTTAATTACCACATTTTCCTTGCCTATAAGTGTGCAGAAGGACCTTCTTTCCCACCCATGAAAACTCAATGTGCAACAACCGTGAACAATTATAGTTGCTTCTCTGCCTATCATAAATACACTTAATTTGGATTTCATTACCTTGTATTTATCAGCAATGAGTTTTGGATTTCATTACCTTCTTAAAGTATTTATCAGCAATGAGTTCTGAATTTTCAGCACGTGCGATTTTTCGTAGTGCCATGAGTACAAAGGCAAGAAAGGAGTTAAATTTATCATCCTAAAAGTGAAATTAAGTGGTTCTCCATGTGTTTGAATCACAACATAAACTTAAACCAGATAAGACAAGTAATGATCACTAACTTATAATCATCGAATTACATACACAGAATAACCCATTAAAATTCAATATCCCAGAAAAACAGTATTCAATAACCCGAACATTCAATAACACACTAATGATCACTACCTCATTACTAACAGAGAAACAACATTCAAAAACTCAGAAAATAACATTCATGATTAGTCCAGCATTCAAAAGCCCAGAAAACAACATTCATGAATAAACCAACATTCAAAAACTCAGAAAACAAAATTAATGAATAACACAACATTCAAAAACCCAGAAAACAACATTCATGAATAACCCAACAACATTCAAAAACCCAGAAAATAACATTCATGAATAACCTAGCATTCAAAAACCCAGAAAACAACAATCATGAATAACCCAGCAGCATTCAAAAACCCCAGAGAACAATATTCATGAATAACCCAGCAACATTCAATAACCCAGAAAACAACATTCATGAATAACCCATCATTCAAAAACCCAGAAAACAACATTAATGAATAACCCATCATTTAAAAAATTCAGAAAATAACATTCATGAATAACCTAGCAGCATTCAAAAACCCATAAAACAATATTTATGAATAACTCAGTAGCATTCAATAACCCAGAAAATAACATTCATGAATAACCCAGCATTCAAAAACCCAGAAAGCAACATTCATGAATAACCCAACATTCAAAAACCCAGAAAACAACATTAATGAATAACCCAGCAGCATTCAATAACTCAGAAAACCAGAAAACAACATTCATGAATAAACCAACATTCAAAAACTCAGAAAACAAAATTAATGAATAACCCAACATTCAAAAACCCAGAAAACAACATTTATAAATAACCTAGAATTCAAGAACCCAAAAAACAACATTCATGAATAACTCAGCATTAAAAAACCCAGAATACAATATTCATGAAGAACCCAACATTCATGAATAACCCAACATTCAAAAACTTAGAAAACAACATTTATGAATAACCCAACATTCAAAAATCCAGAAAATAACATTCATGAATAACTCAGCAGCATTCAAAAACCCATAAAACAACATTCATAATAACTCAACAACATTCAATAACATAGAAAATAACATTTATGAATAACCCAACATTCAAAAATTCATAAAACAACATTAATGAATAACCCAGCATTTAAAAATCCTGAAAACAATATTCATGAATAACCCAGCAGCATTCAATAACTCAGATAAAACAAGTAATATCCATTGAAATAACATTTAATAACCCAAACAAAATAAGTAATACCCATAGAAACAACATTCAATAACCCAGGGAAGTAAGAACCTAAAGGTAGAGTGAACGAGAGAGTGAGTGGGTAAAATGTTGGATTAGAGAGCAAATTATTATTATATAAGGAGGTGTAATTGGCATTGATGAAAAAAAATGTGAACACTGAGTGCAGGGGTTTGTATGTTACAGAATCTACCTTCATTTCTTCCTTTTTCTATTTTTTTAAAAAAAATATGAACTGTGAAAAATTATGGTAAGAAGAAGTGTAATACTATTAATTGAGATTAAAGAATAAGTATGAGTAATTAAGATCATATTATCCTTTCTTAAATAAGTGTATAAGACAAACAACACAAGAAACATGGATTAGAGAAAGTAGTGAATATTAAAAAGAGTTATTTCATTCGTCTCAAATTTCTTTATTTTAACTCGGTATTCAGACACACAACCTTTAAGATATTTAAAATATGATTATACATTTATAAATCACATAAAAGGTAAATATAAGTCACAAGAATTAATAATTTAAAATATTTAAAGGGCAAGGGAATAAATCGTGATCAAATTAAAAGAAATGCATTTTTCTTTTCAATGGGGGGATATCAACCGATTAGAGTGCTGCCAAGTTTGTTTTTGGTTGCAGCCCAAATTTGCGAGAGAATGAAATTCAAAAAGTTGAAGAAAAAAAAGAGAAATCAAATGCAAACTAAGGGTGTGTTTGGTATGAAACAATACTTTCTAATTTTCTCATGTTTGGTTGACTTAATATTTTTGGAAAAAGCTTTCCAAATCAACTTATTTTCCTAAAAAACTACGAAAAACATTTCCCAAAATTATTTTGAACTCCACACCTCAAATTTCCATCATAACTTGAGTCTCGAGTATTGATTCCTGATATTAATCCTAGATCCTACTCTTGATTCTCAATTCGACACTCAACTCTCGAGTTTTAGACTGAGTCGGGGTCAAATCTAAAGTTAGAATTAGAGGTTGAATTTTGGGTCAAGTCTGGGTTAGGTCTTGGTCAGGGTTAGGTCTCGAATCTGATGTCGGGGTCGGGATCAAGGATGAGTCGCAAGTTAGGTGTCAAGGTTTGGTCTCATGGTAAGTTGTCGGGATTGGGTCTTGAATCGGGTCTCGAGTCAAGGTCAGGGTCAAGTCTCGGGATGGGGTCGGGTTTTGGGTTAGGTCTTAGAATCAAAGTCTAGTCTCGAGTTTGGTTTTAGATAAGGGTAAGGTTGCGGCTTAGGTCTTGGGTCAAGTCTCAGGTCAAATTTCGAGTCGAGGTCGAGGTCGAGGTTTGGTTCAAGTCTAGGATCGATTGTTCGAATAGAGGTTGGGCTTTTATTGGACAAGGGTCAAGGTTGGGATCATGTCTCGTGTTGGGGTCAGGTCTCGGATCGGGGTCGAGTCTTTGGTCCGGGTTGGGTCTCGAGTCTTGGGTTGGAGTCGAGGTCAAGTTTTGCGGTTAGAGTCGAATATCAAATCACGTGTCACGGTTTGGGTTGGGTCTTAGGTATCGTATTGGTGCCAAGGTTGGTGTCAAGGTCGGAGTCGAATCTTAGTCGAGGTCGAGGTCGGGTTCAGGTCTCGGTCAAATTCACGGGATGGGTCAAAATCGGATGTCAGGGTTGTGGTTGGGTCTCGAATCGAGGTTTTGTCTCGAGGTTAGAATAGTGGGTAAGGTATCGAAGACGAGTCTTAGTCTTTGATAGGGTCAGGTCATGGGTTGGAATCGAGGGTCGAGTGTTAGGGTCGGGTCTTGGATCTCATATCGAGGTCGGGTTTGGGGTCAGGTCTTGGGTCAAAGTCGGGTGTCGGGTCTCGAGGTCGTGTTTCTACCTCTGGTCGGGGTCAAGGTTGGGTCTAGAGGTCGAGTCTTGGATCAACTATTGGGATCGTGGTCAGGTCTCGGATGAGGGTCATGTTTGATTCTCGAGTCGCGGTTGGGTCTCGGTCATGAATAAGGTTAGGTCTCGAGGCAGGGTCAGGTCTCGATCATGTTTAAGGTCAAGTCTCGGGTTAGAGTTAGGGGTTGGTTCTCGAGATTGGGTCTCGGGTAAGGTGTCAGGGTCTTGGTCAGGTCTCGGGTCAGGGTTTGGTTCTCGATAAGGGTTGGGTTTCAGGTCGAGTGTTAAGGTTGGGGTCGGGTCTCAGATCTAAGTCGGGGTCATGGAAGACCCCGGGTCGAAGTCGAGGGTCTGATCTCAAGTTCGAGTCCCGGGTCGAGTGTCACGGTCGGTGTCGAGTCTCGGGTCAAGGTCAAAGTTAGGTCCCGAGTCAAAGTCGGGGTCGGGTCAGGTGTTGGGGTCATGATTAGGTGTCGGATCGAGGTCACAGTTGGATTTCGGGTCTGGGTCATGTTGGGTTCTTCGATCGGGTCCCGGGTCTTAAGTAAGGATCAGGTCTCAAATCCGAGATGGGGTCGGGGTTGGATTCCATTTCAAATGTTGGATCTTGAGTCGGATGTTGGGTTCGAGAGTTGGGGTTGGTTCTCAGGTCGGTATCGGGTCGAGGATGGGTCTCTGTTCGGATTTAGTGTTGGGGTCATATTCCAATTCGAATGTCTGATCTCTAGTGGGGTTAGGTCTTGGGTTGGGTCTTGGTAAGGGTTGGGTTCCAGTTCATATGTCGAGTCTTGGTAAGGGTCGCGTTCCATTTCAAATGTCGGGTCTCGTATCGAGAGTAGGGATTAGGTTCCGGATCGGTGTAGGGTCAAGTGACGATCGATTATCGGGGTTGATATTCAGGTCTGAAATTATTTTCCTAAAAGATATTTGCTAAAACATGTTTTTCATTCACCAATCGTACACTAGAAAATAGTTTCCACTCACCAACCAAAATAAGAAAAATAAGTTAAAAACCAACTTATTTTCTAAGAAAATATTTTCCATGAAAAACATTTCCCTTCATATCAAACACCAGTGGCGGAGCCAAGATTTTCATCAAGGGTGTTCATACTTTAGGAAAAGTAAAAAAATAAACCTTGCTGGTGAGATTATAACGATTGGAACGTCACTTTTGTACTGTAAAAATGAATATAAAAAAAATATAACGCCTTAGTCTAGGCTCGAACCTAGGCCCTTGAGGCGACTTTTTTCTCTTAAAAATGAAAATAAAAAAAATAAACAAAACACCTTTGTCTAGGCTTGAACCCAAGACCTTGAATCAACTTTGAACGACCTTAACCATTGAGCTATCTTTCTATAGTATGTTAAGATTGTTCAACAATTTATATATATCCAAAACTATTGATATTTAACATATATACTTGCAAAAAAAATTCGACGAAGGACCACCCATGCTTAAGGTGTAGCTCCGCCCCTGCCCAATACACCCTAAGGAGAATTTTTTAACTTAAAATTAAGGAGCATTTGAAGTTATACTGTGTGTCTCATCATTGAGTCAATTTTTTTTTTTTTTTTGGCATTTAGCCTTTTTGTCATAAACAATAATACTCCTAATAGTTTGAAAATGTACACACACCTTTATATTTTGAGAATATATTTTGAACTTGAAAAAATAGATCATGAATCAAAGAAAAAAATTATTTTAATTACAAATGTTGACTACTCAATGACCATATTTTGATGGAAAAGAAATTTGGAGGAGAATGGTATCTGAATTCTCAAGTTAAAGATAAAGTTGAAACGATTTAAATTGTATTTTACATAAATCTTCTCTACGAGAAGATGTTGAACTTGTGCCAGCAAAATTATCACTTCATTTGAGATACTCCTCAAACAAATTTCTCATCTTCAGTTCTATATGTAAAATTGTTTTTTAAGCCAAAGTTGATTTTATTAAAAACAAAAGAGGTTCAATATTTAGAGCCCGTTTGGATTGACTTAAAAAATGTAGCTTTTAAATCAAAAATAAAAAGTCAAACCGAAATGACTTTTAAGTCAAAATAAAAAGTAGGGGAGACCTACTTTTGGTTTCTAACTTATTTTAAGTCATTTTTGACTTATTTTAAGTTATTTTTTATATTAGTCAAACACTTCCAAAAGTAAAAAACTGACTTAAAAGTAGATTTGACCGACTTTTAAGCCAATCCAAACGGGCTCTTACAAGGGAATAAGCCTCTTTTTAAAAAAGAATAATCAAAGATGGGCTCTAAGGCCCTATTATTAAAAATCAACAACTATTAACAAGGGTCTGGTCCAAAAGTGACACAGCCCATAATAAAGAAGAAAACAAACAAAATTAAGCTAAAAAATAAAAAATTAAAAAAATAAGGAAAGTGCAGATGGATATCACTGATGGAATTGAAGGGACAAAGCTTGGATGATCATTTCAAACAAGCTCAAATGTTGCCACCCACCTTCGATATAGAGGCCGGCCTACCAAGATGAACTTTGTGTACTCATAGATCGAAATAGCGATCGAGTTTGGGGTTCATCTTCTCGGGCAATCAGGGGCCTTTGGTTTGAACCTGCATATGAAGCTCCACCTGTGAGATCTGTTCATCTGGAGGTTTGAGAGATGTATTTGCCTCTTCTATAGCCAATAAGTGCTACCATTGATTAGAAATCCCACAAAGATTGCATCGTTAAAGTTGTGTCTTCTTGGTGACCCCGATCAAAATTTGAAAATGATGGTTATAGCTGACTCGCAATCGACTTGCTGATACCAGGTAAACTCTTAATAGTAGAAATTATTTCAATCTTAATATCTATACTTCATTGGACTGAATTCCACAGTTGGAATTAATACCACCAATAAAAGTTTAGATATTGCCATAAAAAATAAATTCCACATTGTTTCAATCAGTGATATAAGTAATCTGAATCAAGCTAAGCTTATAGATAATTAACTATTTTGAAAATTTAAAGTCCTGATTTAGTACCATATGAACACCTCAAAGCTCTCACCAGGTGCAAGTACTGTCAACCAACCGTAATTGCTTCAGACTTAAACCATTCCCAATAATTTTAACATCTATAGCTTCACTTATGATTCAGATAGTAACATTGTAAGAATAGTCCTAAAAGAATAGTCTCCTATTGAGCAGAACTGCTGATATATTTTGTCCTAATGTAAGGAGTGTTTCCTTTGTCCATCATGATAATTTCCTGCCTTCACTAGGAACATCTTGATCTGAATTAAATTCATATGTACCTGCAAAATTGAAAACCAAGTTAGCAAAAAAAATCAGCAAAAGTATTTCCCTCCCTTAAGGAGTGTTGTACTCTTATTCTGTGAATTGAGCCAACCTCAATACTCACACTCCAAGGAATTTTCCAGTTTCCATTAATGATGTTAACCATTGCCAAAGAATCAGTCTCAATAATAATGTTAGAATAATGATTCTCTAAACAATATTGTAAACCTTCACTTATAGCCTTAGCTTCAGCCACTAAAGTTGTGGAATCAATAATTTTCATCTCCTTATCCCCAAAAACCTGCCTTCATGATTTCTTAAGCAAAAAGCAGAAGCACTGAGACCTGGGTTTCCTCTAGAGTCCCCATCAGTGTTACATTTCAGCCAACCTATAGGAGGAGGAATCCATTTAACAATTTTAGAATGAACCACAGGTCTGAACCTTTCCAGAAGAGCTACCATATAAGGCCAAGTATTAGGGATATGATCATAGTGAAAATGAGACCTAATAAACTTGTGGATAGTAGCATTGATATCCCAAATCACCTTGTTTCTAATATAGACCCCTCCATGTAAGATAGTATTCCTCCTCTTCCATAGAAACCACAGAATAATGTTAGGAACTGCTTGAAAAACCATTCTCAGCCTAGTATTACCTTGTGCCACCCACCACTTTTTCATGGTATATTTAATTTGAACCCAAGGACCTAGTATACCAGCAGCCCTTACATAATGATCCCAAATAGAAGTTGCCACTTCACCTGAAAGAAAAAAATGTTCAATAGTTTCTCTTACAGGAACCCTGCAACACTAACATAAGGGAGAAATGTTAGGATTCCATGAAGAAATGATATCAGCAACGGGAGCAACGGGAACTCTGTAAGTCCATACCCTCCAACCAAAGAAAGAAAATTTTGAAAGGTAGCCCCTTCACCCAAATTCTCTTAATGTCTTCATAAACTTCATCCCTACTTCTAAGAATCTCCCATGCAGACTTTACAGTGAACTTGCCAGTACTAGATTTTATCCACCAAGGTTTATCCATTTGATTGTCTTACCCTGCTCATACTTTGTCTCACATGATCCACAATATGACTAGGTAAATACTCTTGCATACTATTATAATCCCATCCAGAATCCTTCAAAAAAACCTCAATATCATCCAAAGAATGACAACCGTGCACTTCTGTCGGATGTAGAAACAAAGGACCATGACTAGTCCAATTGTCAAACCAAATGCTTGATGTTCCTCCTTTAGGTTCCCACCACAAGTTTTGTTCTATTATTTCTCTATTTTCCAACATTTGTTTCCACACTTGTGAGCCACCTTTCCACTGAACAAGGGTGGGAATTTGCTTCTTACAATACTTATTCCACATGAAATTTGCCCATAGTGAATTTTGAGTTCTAAATTTCCACCAAAGTGTAGCATACATAGCTTTAGATACATCAATCATAGATCTAAAACCCAAACCTCATTCATTTTTTGGTAAGCACACCTTTTCCCATGCAGCCCAATGTTTGCTTCTACCTGTAAGCTTGTTACTCCAATAAAATTTTGCAAAAATTCTATGAAGCTCTTTCATCACTCAATTAGGAGGGGCAATAGCAGAAAGTACATGAATAGGAATGCTTTGTAACACACTAGACAACAGAACTTCTTTACCCCCAAAAGAAAGCATGTTTCCTTTCCAAGCCTGAAGTTTATCTTTCACCCTTCTGATGAGATCTGCATAATGCTCTTTTCTTTTCCTAGCATGAGTTATGGGACAACCTAGGTATTTTAAAGGGAAGTGACCCCTAGACATACCTGTACATTCCTCCACCACTACTCTCATATTTGTGGCAGTACTTTGATGAAGATAAAATGCACTTTTCTCTTTATTAATTTGTTGTCCAGATTCACCTTCATATTCCTGCAAAGTTTCAACTATCCTATTCAAAGAGTAATTATCAGTAGACGCAAAAATGATGGTATCATCTGCATAAGCCAGGTGGTTAATTTGTGCACTCCACTTTGGTAAACCATACCCTACATATTGCACATCATCAAACAAAGCATTCAAAGACCTGGATAAAACCTCCGCTGATAGAATAAACAATGCCGGAGAGAGAGGATCTCCTTGTTTCACTCCTCTGGTTGAATGAAATAAGCCATGTGATTGTCCATTAATTAGTACAGAGTACCAATTATTGGAAATCAATCTCCAAATTATGTCAACCAAATCATTTGAGAAGCCCATTTTTCTTAATACTTTCATTAGAAAAAACCATGATACTCTATCATAAGCTTTGGCCATATCAAGCTTAATTACCACATTATCGGGCTTACCTTTTTTTCTAATATTTGTAACAATCTCTTGAGTCAGCAGAACATTTTCAATGATACTTCTCCCTTTCACAAAACCAGATTGATTATTTGAAATCAACCTTGGAAGTAAAGACTCAAGTCTATCATGAACAATTCTAGAGATGACCTTATTAATAAAATTACTCAAACTGATTGGCCTCAAATCTGAGAAAGACTGTATATTATCTTTCTTTGGTAACAGAATTAGGTTGGTATGAGTAATGGACTTAGGTAAAGAATTACCTTGAAGGAAATCCTGTACCAATGCTAGAATATCAATGCCAACAATGTCCCAGCAGCTTTGGTAAAATCTCCCTGTCAAACCATCAGGACCACTAGAACTATCTCCATTAAGTTTGAATACAACATTCTTTACCTCTTCTAATTCTGGCATTCTGCATAAAACTGAGTTTTCCTCCGCATTGATCAAAGTGGGAATATGCCTTAGTAAAGGAAAATCAGTCGCATCCCTCTCTTGTGTGAATTGCTTTTGATTAGGTCCTTTGAAGACTTCTTCAACTCGGATCGATCAGACCTATACCACAAACTGAAGTTAAGTGAGCAAAGCTTTCTCCTATTTCATCTTTGTGCACTGTTATACTTCGATTTAATTCATCCATGAACTTCTCTACAGGTTGAGCCCCAAAGAGGCTGATACCACTGCATAAGGAGGCCACATATGGATTCTATCTCCGCATAAACAGTATATTGTAATTACATCCACTTATGCAAGTATGCAGGTACTGTCATCACCTTTTGATATTTCTTTGTCATTCATGTCGGGTTTTTCTTGTTTGTCTCAATTATGTTTGTGTAATGAAAAACATGTTTTGGATGTTTCTAATTTTAAGATTGGAAATTTGTGTTTTATCTAGGTGTAATATTGCTTTTCCTTTTGGTGCTAAATCTTGGAAATCTGAATAGATGATATATGTTGTGCCTGCAAAAAGAAAAAACCGGTTAGCTAAATAATCTGCAAAAGTATTGTCTTCCCTAAGGGTGTGCTCCACTCTTGCATCAACATTAATTCTCAGACCATTGATCTTTTTCACCTTCACCCGACTACTCCAAGGAACCTCCCAAATTCCATTCAAAATCTTTTGGAGCATTAATGAGCCAGTCTCCAATATTACTGGTAAGTATTGATGCATTATACAGTACTTCAGTCCTCTTCGCAAAGCCATTGCCTCAGGCATTAAAACTAAAGTTATTCCCAAACAAAAAGACTCAGCATGTATCAAATTTCCTTCATCATTTCAAATACAAAAGGCCCCAACACTAGGGCCACCAACTCCTTTTACTGAACCATTCGAATTACACTTGTAGGACCCTAATCTAGGTAGTCTCCAGTAAACCATCTTAAGATCAATAAGGGGGTGCATATTCAGTAAAAAAAGGAACCATCAGATGCCAAGTATTAGGAATGTTTTGCAACCAAGGATAGCTAAGAGTAGCTAGATGATATAATTTTTGTTGACCTCTATAACCATACCATAAAATGACATATTACCTCCATGAGAAATTATATTTCTCCTTTTCCATAATTGCCAAGTGATAAATAACGAGACAACCTTGAAGAGAGGTCTAAGCTTTGACGAGCAGTCCTTATTCCACCATTTATGTATAGTATCATTAAGGTGCAAAAAAAAAAGTCCTTTCACATCAGTAATACAAGCAAACGTATTCCACAACTTCTTAGCCATAGAGCAAGTCATGAAAAGATGTTCAAAAGTTTCATCTTCTGAACTATTACAGCAGCAACACTTAACTTCATCCACCACTTTAATCTTGATAAGAACCTCCCCTATGAGTATTCTTTTTTTCCACAATCTCTAAAGAAAGAAAGAAAATTTGAAGGGAACTCCTTTTCACCCAAATCTTCTTAGCAATTTCTTGTTCATCATTTCCTTGTCTCAAAACCTTCCAAGCACTTCCAACCGTAAATTTGAAGGGAACTCCTTCCACCATTTATGTATAGTATCATTAAGGTGCAAAAAAAAAAGTCCTTTCACATCAGTAATACAAGCAAACGTATTCCACAACTTCTTAGCCATAGAGCAAGTCACAAAAAGATGTTCAAAAGTTTCATCTTCTGAACTATTACAGCAGCAACACTTAACTTCATCCACCACTTTAATCTTGATAAGAACCTCCCCTATGAGTATTCTTTTTTTCCACAATCTCTAAAGAAAGAAAGAAAATTTGAAGGGAACTCCTTTCACCCAAATCTTCTTAGCAATTTCTTGTTCATCATTTCACTAAATTGTCTTAGATATATTTATACTTTTAAAGAATTATTCATTTATAATATTAGATTCATTGTATTAGGTTTAAGAAGGTCAACATATTTGCATCCTTGAGCAGATTCACAAACCAAATCATTAAGCAAACTTTTAGATTCGTCAGGCTTATCCTTCATTCCAATGTCTTGGTTGCTAATGGGAATTGAATTGGAATTTGGTGGAGGGGGGAATTGAGTACTAGAATTGAGAGAGATTTGCTGGCCAGCCGCCGAAGCAGGCTGACCAGTGGCCAATATGGCCATGATCAATCAGAAATTTCTTGTAGCAGCAAGGGTTTTGCAGTCAAAAACCCTGTTGTAAAATTGAAGTTAAAATGAGGGATATAAAATTATTAAACAAACATTCATTTACAAATAATATGTATCAAATTTTTTAAAAATTCGATGCAAATTTTAATTTATAATATAGCATGAAATAAACACGTTGAGAGAGACTAGTATTATATCTTAAAAGAATGAACTCCCTAAAATGAAAGTTAAATAATGCAAACCTGTGAAAAACAATAACATCAACAACTCTAATCATTTGCGTAAATACCTTATACCCCTAACCTAATAGAAACCCCTAACTAAAAACTTCATCACGCTACACTCCTTGCCGCGCTAACGCCCATTTCTGGACAGGCGCTAACGCCCATTTAATCTCCAACATCTCTCTTTTCTCCCACAAAACACTATATGCTTTGGCGAAATTGCTTGCCATTGTTTACGGATTTGCTTTTGACACCTCTCTTACAGATACATTTAGCACTGCAAAAAGAAATAGATTATTGTTAGGATATACTACAATCTTAGCTGATATGTTAAGTCTTACAATATCTCGGGCAATAATTTTTTACAAGTGAATCATTTTATTTGTTTTAGAATGATAAGTTTCGAAAGCAAATGAATGCTTACAAATAACAAGTTCAAACAAAATAATAGATATATCCATCTTCACCACCATATACAAGGACAGAAACTTGTCAAGAAGTATTTGAGAACATTGAGTCTGTAACCCAATAAAGAGAACTCCATACAAATATAGGATACAACACAAGTGTAACAACTAAGCACTCTCTTGGTGATGAAATATAATTTGAGGACTACGGGATAAACCAACAAAATATCACCAACCACCCTATTTAGCATGCCAGATATGAATCTCTGGAACTAAGCCCCGTGAACCCTTAGTAACAGTATTATCTCTGCAACAGGGAGCAACTATAGTCGTATATATTGATATCCATGAACCAGACAAGAGACAGAGAGTTCTGCAACTAACACTAACAGCAGAGCATCTGAAATAGTGTTAGAAGCTGCTTGCTTCAATGTGAACATATGTTGGCTAGTCCAACTGTAAATAATTATAAGGTGTAAACTGTTTGTTTATTCAAGTAAAGAAGCCCCCAAAAAACCTATCCTTCTTTTGTTGTTGTGCGCCTACATCTTGGACCAGGTTCAATTCCTATAGGTCCGGGATGATCTACAACAGTACAACTTACGCAAGCAAGAGCTTTGAGAAGGCTCATCACTCAGTGGCTTTTCTCAGAAAAATTCTCCCGATTGAGTCCTAGATGTTTTTCTCAGGTGCATCTGGTCACATGTCCGACAACCAAAGGCTATCGTCCCACTTTCATACTCCTAGTTCTTTACCTTCAATGGTCTTGATTAATAAATCTATTACTCCTATAAGTGGCAGGAATTACTCAACCTACTACTTCAACATCCTTGTCCGCCATTCTCTATCTTCATAAATTCCCTTGTAATTTAATAGCCATTAAAAATTAACCAAAGTACTTAACTGTTTTTCTCCTTATTATATGATTGTCTAAAATTCGAAAACAGGAGGAACAATTGGCTCAGGACATAAGTCTCATGAATTTTACCGTCCAACTTCCAGCACTTCCTAAGGTACCAATCACTTGTGATGTTGCTGCATCCACACAGCAGATCCATTGATTCTCAAGAAAATGATTTAAGAAATGACTCAGACTCTTCTAGTACTCAATTGGGTACCAAATCAGGACGCTTGCCAACTTATTGTGCTGTCCATCATGTACCACACACTTCAACTAATAAGAAAACAACTGTTAACCATCTAAAAAAGTGAAGTATTACATAATAATTCGTCGTGATTTCCCATACTGAAGATGCTTTGAGCTATGATAACTCCGCTGCAAGAAGTTAGAGCATTTAAGCAACATTATTGATTCAATCACAAAAAAGAAGAAGAGGATAATACTCAACCATGCACCAAGGAATCCTTCAGTTACGCTCAGAACAGAAAGTGCATTAAACAACACTACTTACAGAAAGTGCATTAAACAACACTACTTACAATAACAAATGCAATAAGATCTATTGCTCTAATTCGAGATAGAAAACAACTAGGGGAAATCTCTTTACGAACCATAGAAAGGAACAAAATGATATTAAGACGAAAGGAAAAGAAACAACATTAGTTTCTATAATAGACTATTGCCGAGTCTTACTTCAAGATGAATATTAAAGTATTCGCATTGTAGGCAATCATTTCCCTGCAAAAAAATGGTGAGGAAAAGTTAGGGTAAAGAATAGTTCAACTCTACCTCCCCTGCCCCTTTCTATCTCAGAGCAAGGCAGTAAACGGAAAAGGAGCCAAAAACAAAATAATGACAGAGTTCATAAATTTGGTCAAGGTTTTGAATAATAAGTTAGCTATTAAGATCCACATGATGTTTTAGGCAGTCCTATCAAGAAAGACACAAAAGATCCTAAAAGAGCAGAGTGAGAGAACCAATGCTGGAAGAAGTCACAAAAGACAACTTCTGAAACTTGCATAATACTTTTTCCCCTTGAGAAATAGCAAGTATAATACTTCAAGTAAAATAATCGACCATCACAGCACAATGTGAATTTCCTTAAAAATAAACAGCTCCTGATAGTTCAAACTAAACTAATTTAATTTGTAGGAACCTGTCCTCAAAAATGAATGTTAAGGCCTCCTGCATTTGAAGACAGACTAATAATTAAGCAAGACCTACTTTAAAGGGATCCTTTCTTCTCTGATCGCCAAAAATCAACCATATATAGATGAATATTTGTAACTTCAACAATTGTTGGAGAGGCAATAGTCGATTGACTGAAATGTGCACAAACAAAATCATTTATATCCGAAATACTGAAAGCCTGTTAGTGCAATCATGTTAAAAATCCAGAGAGAAATATACATGTTGCTAATTTTCATGGCAAAAGAAAGTGCAGACATGCAAAACCTCAAGAGAGTGGAGTTTCCACTTGCTAAAAAACTTAACATTAGTCACATAGAGTAGAATTCTCAAGGAAAAATGAACATGCAATGTTTTAATACCTTGCTTTTTAAGCAGTACAATGAGTATATACCAAAGTTGCAAGTGCAGACTTTTAACATAAATTATCAAGCAGTGTAAATTGCATTGGCATCAGAATAGAATGGGTATACATTCTTTGCCCCGGAAAGGAAAAAATGAAGCCAAGTAACTTTACAGCTTATTCGTGATGGAAAAAAGAAGTCATAGAACGACAACAAGTACATTCTTGAATGTGACCAACTAATCCATGCAAGTCAAGGTGAGACATTGTGTTATCT